ACAAAATGTGCCTTAAAACTTTAAGTTCCGGTTTGTAATCATTTATAAAAAATACATAAATTAGCTTTGAGACTTATTTCAATATGTAAAGCCAAGGAGTCCCATACTAGGACGAAACAGCTGTCCAGTGCTCCCAGGTTTCCTTTCTTCCTCCAAATGATGTAAGTCTACGATTAATAACAACTGAAAATATTTCCAAATCCCCACAACTTCCTCAAAATTCAATAGAACTGGTACTCATTGGTGACTGGCTTCGAGAGGTATTCCTCAAGTTTTAATGAGAAGTCGTGACCAGTGGGGGCAGAGCCTGATGGTCGTGAGGACAGTTACTCAACGATGACATTGGGTTGTGGTTGCGCTATATTATGAGCTAACAGAAGTTGGAAATATGGACGACTGGATTCTGACCCAGTGGCTCAATGGTAACGTACTGGTCTTGGAGCCTGAAGGTCGCCGGTTCGATCACACTGCTGAGGAGTCCCATACTAGGACGAAACAGCTGTCCAGTGCTCCCAGGTTTCCTTTCTTCCTCCAAATGATGTAAGTCTACGATTAATAACAACTGAAAATATTTCCAAATCCCCACAACTCCCTCAAAATTCAATTAGACACTAAATTTCTTAAGTATTACTGATGATAATATCCACCAGAAGAAAATATCTATTAGAAAATCGTTTCAAATTACAAAAGATAATTCAGTTGTCTTCCTGAGTTTTTGATGTTTCGGGTCAATATTGTCTGATATAAATCAAGGACAATTATATCCTATGATATAAATTAATCAAGAAACTGAACATTATTGACCAATTTATTTGAGTACAGTAATCATCTTTATGAAAGGTGTGAAATTGTTTGGATTACTCCAGCAATGTAATGAAGTCATCATATTAACAAAAATTATCTATGGCTCTTTTGGTTTCTGATGAATATCTTAAAATTTGAGTGTTTCTCATACACACTATTGCAGTTAATGTTTACACTAAACTTCTAAAATTCTAAGACTTAAGTAGCTATTGCATTAAGTTTTTCACTTTGAAAATATTCTCTGTTTCAGCCTCTAAAAACGACTTACCACATTTTTGAAACTGAAAGACTTCATCAAGTTAATATATGTGTAAAACATAGGCACTGTAGTAGGATATAATTCCATATTAGATTTGTTTGTTTAATTCATAACACACAGTGATACAGTGTTAGTTACATGATGACCACGTTTCAAGCATAGATTATTACTCCTCATAATCATATCAATGTAATCAGACTCCTTTCAATATCTGGCTTTTACAGTTCTCTAACCTCTTATTCTTTGTTTTTATTGGTAGTAAAATTTTCCATATTTCTGCTATAGGTATCGCGTCATCTGTATGATATGTGTTGGCTGAGTGTTGATTCGATGAACAAAGATTCAGTAGTCAATTTCTCTTTCTCCACCTGACTATATTGGACCTACGTACAGTGGTTTTATCTCATCCATTCTATTGCATGGTTGTGTGTTAATGCATGCACTGTAATAGTCAAGTGTTTTTCTGGATTACTAATCTTTTAGGGGTTCGTCATTGTCATTGGCTAAATTCCAATGTTACGCTAGTTTTACTGACCCTATCGGATCCTTAATCCAGCCAATAAAGCTTGTCTCTGAGTGAGTTTGTAGGTCTAAATACCACCCTAATTCCAGCTGTATGGAGAATCCTACGTGAAGTTTTTGATGTATCTTTCTTGTAGGATAACACAATTCAGGCTTTCAACTCCTTCCTATTTGTGTTGTCGTTATTATTCGTAGTCATGTTACTGCTATTATTTCGTTTCTTATGTGTTCGTGCTAATTTCTTAATAAACTGTACAGGATAATTATTAATTATTATATGCTTTTATGTGCTTCAGTTCGTTGTTTCGATCCTTGCGATGACTAGTTCGTTTTATAATCTAATCTGTCAAATTCCATGTAATGACTACGAGGTCGAGTACATGAGTCAAACCATTCAGCCGGTTGGGGTCAGTTAAAATAGCCGAACACAGAAATTTAACTAAATATAGAGCAGCATACCCCAATAAGATCAATAATCCACAAAAAATCTCGGCTTTTCCATTCCATGTATTAACACACCCACACAATATGGTGGGATAAAACGACTCTACCGAAGCCGAATATAGTTAGATGAAGAGAGAGATCAATTACTAAATCACTTGTTCATTGAATCGACACCCAACACGTAATATAAATGACGCAACATTTATACTAGAGATATAGAGAGTTTTACTACTAATAGAAACAAAAGAATATCAGGTGATAGGAGTACAGAAATGAGATATCAAAAGTAGTGTGATTACAATGATATGATTATGTGCAATAATTTATGGTTATCTTTTGGCTATCCGAGATAGCTGTAGTTTGGCAGACTAGTATTAATACTGGGTGATGTATGAAGGTGAAATGGAAATTCTGATAGCGGCCGGATTCCATGCTCTAGAACATCGGACCGGAAACCCAGTGGCCGCTGTTTCAAATCCAACCGCGGTCCAAAATTTCATTTCGCCTTCAATCATTAGCCAGTATCAATAATTTATGCTCGAAATGCCATCAAACAAATAATACTATATCACTGTGTTATCAATCAAATAAACAAATCTAATATGGAACTTCATCAAGATGCCTATGTAAAACATTAGTTGATATGCCGTTAAGACTAACTGTGGATTCTCATATCATTTTAAACTATTAATCTTACCTTCTTCACTTGCTGACGAGTTTTGCTTTGATTGTGAAAAAAATCTGTATAAAAGTTGGGAAATCCCATATGTATAAGTGAAAGTCAAATAAGTCCGGAAATGACAACGTGCAATATCTTCAGTCATCGTTATAAATGATTTAAAATTTCAGTTTACTGGATTCATTTGTGCAGATTAGTTCTCGAATACTGTTAACTGTCACTTACTTGATGAGAGATAGTAATGGAACGCAGAATGCACGTTTCGTTCTATTTGAGACTCGTCAGTTGGATATGCGTGAATCCTAGTGAGCAGTGGTGCTCCAGCTGCTAGTTACCATCAAGGAAGTTTTAACGTAATGAACCTTTCAGTAATATTGAGGCATCCGCATAGAAAACCATATGCCATTCGAGGCTGATTGTTTCGATCCGGTGTAACAACGGGAAATTAAAAGCATATCAATAAATAATTCTCAGCTCTCTGAGACCCTATATATTGGTAATATATAGCCTGATTATAGTTTAACAGTTACAGAATCACCAGGAACTGTAGACAAGCAGATAGACAAGTGAAACAACACATCGAGTCTTACACAGAAGTACTTCAGTTCAAGATGGAAACAACTTAGCACTGATTAGTGAATTCACAAAATAATCGGATGTGACAAAACAATTTTTTCCAATCCTGATGAAATGACAAAACTGTCGTTAGAGAACAAATATGAAATTATCATCAGAATGACCTGAGCTGACAAATAAAAACCTAGTCGATTCACACAATGACTAATCATAATTTATATTACTTCTTTCTTAGCATTGAAAATATAATGAAATTGATTCGTTTCTTTTGTAGAATACAGACACAGAAAGCTCTGATATAAACCTTGATAAGATACTTTTCAATTATTCATGCCTAAACATGTTCAGTCATTCTATTTTCTGTACATAACACAACAAAAGGAGATTGGAAACTTTCTGTGTTGGCTATTTGCCAATAAATATTGGATTACGTGTCATAATTGTACATCTTTACAACTTATTGGAAATCATAAGTAGCATGCATGACACTGGACTAAATTTGTAGTATTACTTTAGATCTTAATGAAGAGTGAAAAATATTCTGAACTATAATGATCAGCTTCATAGTAATGATCGACATTGGCTAGTAGTTGAGTACAGGACACACGTTACGTCCTACTGGGGACTACCCAGCTTGATATTTGTGCCTCAGAGTGAGTGATGTTGTCCCCACTTACACTCGAAACCATGACCGATCGCTTCAAATGTCAAGGCGTTATCCACTAGACTAATGAGTAACGATAGCCACTCCTTGCACAAAGGGGTATAGCTTTTATTTTATTGCTTGTAATTCGCCATCGTTGAATGGACCGAATTGATAGGTCTGTATTGAGAAATTGGGGTTTACATGGATACCTCGATTATTGCCTGTGATCTCAGTTTGGTAGTAATATCAAAACTGGAAATACCGACAATATTGAGGCAGCGATGCTGCAGCTCATCGGTCCAATCAACGATGAGAAATTACAAGCAATTATCATCTGTAACAAATTTATTTTTGAAGTTCTCGAAGATTTTAGACAGTGAGACAGCTTTCACTTACCTTCAGAACTCAAACAATCAGTCATTTACTTCATGAACAATGATTTCGACCATGTTATGACAGCTTTCTTTTCTTCTTTTAATTTTCAACTAATTTTGATTACTTTTCACCTCTTTTACCCTTCCCTATTGGTGCCTTCCACTTTCATGTGCTGGTGTGTTATGTGGCAACCTGAACTGTTTTACTGCAATACCAGACCCCATGTTGTTACTGACTTATTGGTTGACTGTCTATCATCGCTACCAGTTTTTTTTATGCTATGTCTACATTGGTCAATAAATCCTATTGAATTTAAACACTAGACGTAAGCATGCCGAATGTGTATTCCAAACGTATCCACCGATAAAAACTTATACGAGCATCAACTTTATACCTTCGTCACCGAGACGATACATCTAAGTTATACGCATCCAGCAACTAGATATGTAATGTACAAAACAATATATTAACAGCATTAAAAGGTGTGATACTCATAATGGTAGAGAAAAAGAGAGAATTTTATACGCTCAGTGGATAATATAACCCTCTGGATTACTCAACCGAATACAACTAACTTGCAACTTGTTGACTGCTTATTTATGCTTATGAAATACAGTCTAGTGATGTCATAGAAAATGAAATGAGAATATCAACAGAAGTACTTTTATTTTTAAAGAGAAAGTTATAGTACTTACCATGCAGAAAATCAATAAATCGTTCTAAATCATTCACTTGGGTTTTAACTGTTCCACAAGTTTCTCATTAACTTTAACGGGATTTAAAAACTGTAATATATATCAAGAAACAGTGTGGCTTTTTTAGTTTGTACAATGTGTAGGTTACATAAGTAATAGATCAATAAAGATATTATCAGTTTGATTGTTGGAGATAGCCACGATTCAGTAGACACGTACTGATAATGTCTGATTTCTGTATGTAAAACGGAAATCTGCATAGCAGCAGGTTCGAATCCCGCTACGGTCTAGATTTTCATCTCACCTTCAATCATCAGCTAGTATTAATAATGATTTATATACAAGTACGAAAAATCTACGTAAGTAAGCATCTGAGGGTAAGCATTCGAAATTCAAAACAACTCCGTGTTGAATACTATATGTTGACATGCTTGTAATTCCCCGTTGTTAAACTGGATCGAATTGTTCTACCCCTGTTGGTATATAGACTCCTACGTGGGTGCCTCAATACTGTCTGAATATATATTATGGTAATTTACTTTCTTGTGGGTAGCTGAGGAATCCAGGATGCGCGTTTTGTCCAAGTCAGGACTCTTTCATTGATAAAACAACGAAGAATTACAAGTATATCCATAAATAGTAATAACTAATACCCGTTGTACAAAAGGTAGCTATCATGCCCAATGGCCTAGTGGATAACGCTTTGGCGTTTGAAGCGATGGGTTCGAGGTTCCAGTCTCAGTGGGAATATCACTCACTGGAGTACAGTTACACCCAGTTGAGAAGCCCCAAGTAACATGAAACCCACGTCCGGGACTTTTCTGCTAGTTACAACCAAGTGAATTATCACAAACTCTGTATTTAGTTACCTTTTTCCATTATGTCATGATAACGATGTCGAAGTAATTATCAGGTCTCACCGTGCACTTTCAGGTAGGATTGGAATCTTTACTCACTAAGTTATGTGTTTCTATAGTACTGACCTTGGTACAGCATCCCGGCAACTTCTACACTATACAATATTTCCTGGATATAAAACTAGTTGAAGAAATCAGAGGAGTGATCTGCTCATGAAATGGGTACTATGTGATGACAAAGAAATGTATTGAATCAACAAGTGTTGATGCATCACAACTTTTTTGGTGAGATCCAAGATCTCAGCCGCTCAAGGGATTCAAGATCAGTAGAAACTAGTGCTGACCATACTAAAGTTTTCATCTGTGCTTTTCTATTTGAAAACTGTACGAACATAATAATAAATGGGGTAAATGGTTCGGCTCGATACCATCCAGACAAGAATTAAAAGTGGCGAACATCTGCCCTGTCTCCTCATTATTTCCGCGCGATCATTGACGGTGTGCACAAATGACTTTCATACAGTAATTCTAGAGACAGAATTGGGTACTGTATACAAATTTCAATCACTCAACAACCTAAGCTTTCGTTTTGTCAAATGCATATATATATATATATATATATATATATATATATATACTAACTGCTTTGGTCATGACGCTTCTCACTACCGTTCAGTACATAAATCATGTCAATGCTCTGTAATGTTTGGCGTGCATTGGATCAAACCATTATAGTCAGTATAGGCTAAAATGATGATGTTTTATTCATGAATCAAACCAAGTTCCCTTCGGAAACTAAAGTATACAAACCATAGTGTACGATCTACTGAATAGCATAAGTGGTGTTGACGTTTAGACCTGAGAGCTGTTAGGTTTAGGTTACTGGATGACACAAGCAGTTGTAGACAACTCATACCGTTCAACATTAATTGTTGCACCATATCAAGACTATCTAAACATCGGACGACTGATTTCCTCACTTGGAGGTGAGTTCATTAGCTGAGTTTGTGAGCTGATCCACATTGGAAAGCCGAATTGTTAAAACCACTGTCATTGTCAGGGGCATTTCAATAACCATTTGCGAGTCTATGTACCACGCTATGAATAATATCTATAGTGTAAAGGTTGTACGTATTATCTGCCAGCGGAAAATCGCATATTAAATGACAGAGAGTTACACCTGACAACTCACTGATTCAATATTCAGTTTAAAGCAACTGGTCCCTTTGATAAATTTAAACAGCGTAATGAGAAGACGAAGATTATCTGAAACATGTGATGTATTAGCGCTATACACTTCGAACAATCTGATCACAAATGGACTTGTTGAACTGTTTATGTGAAAATTTACGATTTAGGTCAATAAGTTAATAGGAAACATAGGAATAGGAAGGGATAGAAAAAAAAGGAAAACCTTACTCTTGGTACGACAATTAAAATCAATACTACCAAGGTAGGTTCAACGAGAGTACGAATTTTTTTGTATATATAAAGGGGGTTTAAATTTACGGATGACAAGAGCTTCAATAAATTTAAGCACTCGGCTCTGACCACTTTTATGTAGTTCTTTAAAGGCTGTTTTCATGTCTATCCTATGGTTAGTTTCTAGTATATGTTTAGCAATAGACGAAGATAGATCTTTCAAGTTGTTATTCATCGAAGACTGACATCAGTTGGAGGAACAAAGGAAACCTGGGAGCACTGGACAGCTGTTTCGTCCTAGTATGGGACTCCTCCAACTGATGTCAGTCTTCGATGAATAACAACTTGAAATATTTCCAAATCTCCACAACCCCCTCAGAAGATAGATCTGTTGAGGTCATATGTTTTTGAAGTCACTGAAGTATATGTTCAGCCTTCCTTAACTGCATATCACGATTACCCCTCCCTATATATGTATGTCCACACATACATGTAAATTCATAAACACAGTGGGATGTGATGTAATCGTCTATATGTTGTTTCGGTTTGTGCTGTAACATGGACTTGGTCTTCTCTACAATGCATGATGCGTTTTACAGATGGCCGATCTAAGTCTTTTCCTCACAACAAAGCTATGTGAATCACCTCTAAATGGTAATGAGATGTTAAGTGTCTATGTAAGTGAGCTATAAATCTCCGTGTCTTTACCAACTCATTACATAACAAGAATATCTTGACAGTGATTTGAAAATACTTTTGTGTAAGAAAAGCAGTTAGCTTCTTACAGGTATTTGCTTACTCTCTACCCCCTCCATGTAACGCTTCAACTTTCTTTCAATATATCATTCATCTTAGTTAATTCCAATAGTTGTTCTGTATCAAACTAAGACAACTTAAACTGACTCAGTGGTGTAATACATTTCACATTATAGCACTCGATTCAATCTTCAGGATATGAGTAGCACATTGATTACGATCCAGATATCGATGTATGTATGAAAATAAATTACACACTGAATAGTGATGAACTAATTTCTTCTAAAATTTTATTGAATTGAGGTGTAAAACCTATATGAGCCTAGTTCCCTCCCTAACTATGGAATTCCTTTAGATTGCCAGATAAGTACGCAGCATGGACTCAAACCTTTGCTGTCGACCGCTTATGGTGTTGTCATCATAATTGGAGACAAATAGTAGTGTTCCCCAGCGATGCTCACTGTCACCATTCCTATTTAACTTCATTATAGATGTACTTAAAGACATAACCTTATATACGTCTTATTTCAAAGAGATCGATCTCTTCCCTGAATGTCATCCGGTTGAGTTGGAGTAGGCAAATGTGATATTGTTCTGACAGGTGAGAACTCTGACAAAATCCAGGGTCTTCTAAACGCGTTGAGCAGAAATTTGAGTACACTTGGTATGCTTTTCGCCGGAAACTGTAAAATGTAAGATGATGCTCCTCGACTGATCTACAGCAAGTACTCCTAGTTTAATGATAGGTAGTGAAGTGATGGATTGCGTCGACCATTTCACTTACTTGGGTAGTTGCATCAGCCTAGGCAGGTACAGAAGGCCTGTTTGACACTTGCAAACTTACGTCATCTATGGCATCGACTGTCAGAATATCCAACTACTTATTAAATGACAGAGAAACTGCATTGTAGTTTGTTCTATCCTGTTACATGGTTGTGGGACATGGACGTTAAAAGTAGAAGACATGAAGCGATTACAGGGTCTTCATCACCGTGTGACCAATGTCGAAGTCAGGCGAAGGGTATTAGGCAAGAAAAAGAAGTTAGTTGATGAGGTTGTGGACCTCAGTTGACTGAGATGCCTTGGATGACAAATACTGTGAATGATGAGCCACCGTTGTCTGCTTTGACGTGCCGTGCTAAGGAAGGTTGAATTGGGTGTGAAGAGGGTTCAGCGTGACCAGATGAAGAACTGGGACATAACCAAGAAGCCTCTGACTATTGGTCTCAGTCATATGGAAAGATTTAGACTAAATGATTAGTGTCCTCGAGATGATAGAAATTAAACGGTTGAGGACTCCTTGTGACATGGCTGAAAATCGGTCAAACTGCAGCAGATGTGTTCACTTCTTGACGTTTCCGAAACCTCGAATATTTGCACTAACAGTTAACTTGGAACTGTTTATTCTCTTACACAACTTTGTCTACTTTGATGTCACGTTTCTTCGATCCACCCTGTTTTAGCATACTACTGAGAAGTGTAGCAACTTGAGGTAACACGCTTATATGCGGGGTTTTACGTTGATTTTATCTATCTGCCTGTCAATCGCCATCAAGATGTCAAACGAAAAACTAAATAATTAATCAACTCCTTGGGATTTGATTTAGAAATATGTTGGTTAAGAGGTTAGAATGAACGAAATAAATACTAATTATTATTTTTTTAAAACAACCTTGGTTAAAAATGATTGGTTTTAAAAACAGAAAAATTTCAAAAAACCAATTGGAAATACTATAAAACTTACTTGATTTACAGCATTTTCAACAACCTGTTTAAGTTCATCGTCTGGAAGTTTGTCTAAATTAAAAATATTCAGTTCAAGTTTCTCTCTTAGACCTTCTAGTACTAAGCGTTGTTTTTCTAGCATTGCTTGTGTAGGCGGTTCACTTTGTTCACCAGTCTAATAGGTTAAAAAAAATAGACAGAAGAGGCAAGGATGAAGTGTTTATTAAGTAAATTACGAAAAAAATGAGTTGCTACGGTAACAAACGCTAACATAACCCCCTGATGTTAACTTTACTTAGGGACATTCCCATACCTTGATGATCCTGTAGAAATTAAAAAGAGTAGACAATCCATTTGGAAGAAAAGACAAATGACTAACTTTCATCGATTCACTCGGCGATAAATGATACGGTTTCAACACTGAAAATCCTGCTTACAGTGTAACACTGAACTTCGGATGCGTAGGGTTCGGGAAAGAAACACCATCATTGACCCAGTAAAATTGTTTCCGCATCCGTAAAATTCAGGTAAAACCTCTTAGAGATTTTCGGATTCAACAATTCAAGATTTTTCCTGGGTTCGAATCATTACTAGTAGTGATGTAATTTCGGTTTGATCTACCACACAGGTATGAAACATATGAACAGGAAAGTGATAAATTCTCACCTTGAAAGCTTGATTTATGCTACTTTTTATCTTTGTCCGAACATTATTCATAGGCCTTATTCCTCATTCTTCTGTATATCATGCTACTGTTTAACGGCTAATATTTTACTTCTCCGATTTAAATAAATTTCGAAACAAATAACCGCCTACTAGTAAGGCATATTTGCACTGACTGACTATGCCATCGTATCACATAAACTCAATGAAATGTATGCAACGTAAGTGAGTAAAAAGAGGAAGGTTTTAGGATAGCGAATGAAAAGGAGGCAAAATTAATCTCCTGTACACGTCAGAAACTGTATGAAACTGAAGAACAACCGAAGGGATAGGCCATTTGTGACTACTTCATTGATGCAGTCAACCAGAAAGGGCGCTTAAGTGAATTATGTAAGTACTATTTAAACTTCCCTTTTATTTGAGCTCAATCTCCCACTTTCTACACCGATCAAGCATCTCTGCCGTCTGTTTGATGATTGTTCAATGTTATCCGAGTTTCGCTCTTTATCGAACGTTTCCCCACTAGGTCATCAAGAAGTGAAAACGTATGAAAATGTATTGACTCAATATCCTACATAAACATTTATACAGCTTGTAGTGAATTCATTTGTTTATGTTCAAGTAATTGCTGAAGAAGTTACCCAGCCTGGTGATAAAACTCCTAAGAACATAAATCAAAGCTCAGAGAATATATCAAGCATTCATTATCCTTATCATCAGCTACTAATCGTCTCTATCAAAGTACGATGTCTGCTTCATAGTTGCTACCGAATTCAGATGTTTGTATCTACCATACTGCGAATAAGTGACTTGAACTAGCTGGTGAGTTGGTGAAGGCGACTAATACACAACTTCATTAATGAGGCTTATTATCAAGATCATGCCCTGTCCCCACTCTTGTAGGGAATGAACTCACTTCATCTGGCTTTGTATTCTCACATGCTGTTATAAGGACTGGTAAAACAATCGCATTTTATATTTTACCAGTAAACACACGTTATTAACCAATATTTCCTAATCTAGTTGCTTAGATTTCATCATTCAGCATAAGAACCTGTCAAAATGGAATAAACAGTGAAGCGACCAAGTAGAAGCTACTGACAGAACAATACTAAATACGAGAACGTTACTAACTCAATGAGATACTTAAACTGGCTACGAACAGCGACTGTTCTTCCTTATAACCTGATAATTCACTGAGCCATGAAAATCAGAAGACAAAGACCAGCCTGTGACTGTATAAAGGACAACTTTATCTAACAAAAAACACCTCAATCATACGCAGAAAATGAAGCCACTAGGTCAGAAGTTTTTGGACCTCGTAGCTCAGTTGGTAGAGCATCGGGCTGGAAACCCGGTGGTAGCTGGTTCTAATCTGACCGCAGTCTAAATTTTCATTTCACCTTCAGTCATCACCCACTATAAAAACCTAATATGTATAATTCAATAATGATATGTAAAAAAGCATGCTGACTGTCAACAAAACAGAAGTCTTTACTAAAATCGGCACAGACCGATAACCTGTTTCTCTCTGAACACATAATCGTTTGACGGTTAATGCTTCAGTGGAATACAACAAATTAGAATTCATCTATTCATCAATTATTATATTTTGAACGATTTCTGAATATTGACATCATATCCACCGTCAACAAAGTGACTAGCAATAGTGCTGTTGAAGACTTTCTCAGTCATAAATCCCTTGGAATATGCTCAGACAGGCTGTCACAAACCCCTTTTTCTGTACATCCAACGTATGTGCTTTTGCGCATTCATTTGAATTGATAGATGCAGTTGGAGGTATTCTTTGACTGTCTCAATAAGCGATTCGCTCAGTGGAGTGCGATTAAATTAGCAGCTGGATAAGTCATTTTTAAGACAAGCAAAATATTACGCGGCATCATCCTGGAGAGACTAGAGGATGCGCTGGATTCAAAATTGTGACCGGAACAGGCTGCTTGGCTGGCTCATTTCAGGAAGAACAAATCATGTGCCGATCGAATTGCAACGCTATGCATCATCATAGAACAGAGTACAGAATGGAAGTCAACTCTCGATCTCAACTTCATCAAATTTGAAAAGGACTTCGACAGCGTCGACCAACAAGTAATTTTACAGGCAACCACTTCAACACCACGGAGTGCCACAAATCTTTATCAGCCTCACTCAACAAGACGCCACACACCAAGTGATCCACAATGGAAAGCTCAGTGATGCTTCTGAAGTGAAGACAGGAAGGAGTAAAACAAGGCTATCCACTATCACCCATGATATTCCTGATTGTGGTCGACTGGATCATGCAACAAACGACTGTGAGGAGCGAGAAGAGGGGGATACGCTGGACCACCGAAAATAACCTACAAGATTCGAATTTCGCTGATGATTTATGTCTAGTGTCTTGTGGCACAAACATGAAGATCTACAGGCAAAAACTAACAAGTTGACAGAAGAGGCAAGGCAGCGGAAATTGGACTTCAAGTGAATGTAGAGAAGATGGAGGTGATGAAGATACCCAACCAACAACAACAACAACAACAAGCTCCAATCACCATCAACGGGAGAAACTTAAAGCAAGTAGTCTCTCACCTACACCTACACCTATCTAGGCAGCATCCTTTCAACTACAGGCGGCACAGGCACAGATGACAACGTCAAAGTCAGGATTGGAAAGACAGAAAGACAGGCCTTGATAAATCTGAAATCAGTGTGGAGACCTACTGCACTCGACTCAGCATGAAACGTGAACAATATCCGGATTTTCAACACCAACGTCAAGTCAGTGCTTCTGTGTGGCTCAGAGACTTGGCGGGTTTTGAAAGGCATTTCCAACAAACTGCAGACATTCATCAACAGCTTCTGCCTACGCTGGCTCGTTACTGAAGCTCAGATGGCCAGAAACAATAAGCAACAAGGAACTCTGGCTGTCAACGAACCAATCAAGAACCCATCGCCCAACAAATATGCAGAAGGAAGTGGAGATGGATTTGAATGGACACACACTAAGAAAGCCGAGTGGGGATATCACGCGCCAGGTCCTCAAGTGGAATCCAATGGAGAAACGACGAGTTGGATGTCTGAGGAGAGGGTGACATGGAGGAAATGATGTGAGGAAGAAATGAGCGATTTTTGGCAGTCATGGCGCCAGGTATTGAAGACTGCAGAGAACAGAGTGCAATGGAGGCGTGCTACTGAAGCCCTATGTTCCACTAGGAACCCAAGGGGAAAATAATAATAAAAATAATAAGACAGCATTTATTCTGTAATTACTTCTCCCAGGAGCATCATCTTTGGAACCGAAATTTAAGGAAACAAGCTTCTTCTCGACTATATCACACTTTACGGTTTTAGTCGGCGTATTCTTATAATTATTGATGAATTTCTGTGAATATCCATTATCAAGGAGACAATTTTCAACAGTATTCCTTTCGTCTTCCAGTGTCTTTTTCCAAAAAAGATATCTTACGCCTCTGAACAGAGTTTTTATCAGTCCTTTTCTGTGACTAATAGGGCAAACGCTGTTGAAGTTAAGATACATTCCACTAGAAACATCTTTTCAATGGATACATCTAAATAAATTACTATCTATAATTCGCTGAATTCCGAGATCAAGGAAGTGAAACTTATCATTCTGTTCATATTCCTTCCATTGTAAATTCTACGTCATATAGATATTATCTTTTATTCAGTTCTACAATTTTCTACTGAATTAATTCAATTATGCAAACACCTAATATAAGTTGATGTTAAAACTGTTTTAGACCGTAAGCAACTAATGAGAAACTATGAAATAAAATGGACCCATGTATTGAATGATCACACGAGTGCAACCGATTTTTTTTTATATTGTCTAGTCCTGAGTGCAGACCGAATCCTATCGATCATATTTGCAGTGTGTCAACCAAGCTAGGAAGCTCAGCACGCTGGTACACATTAGTAGATGTCAGTTGGTTGGATGCAATCAGCAGGAAATCCTGCTCGACCTAGGTTTCGTGCTTTTTGGCACTCGTCAACAAGGACGTATCTGAAACTTCGACGGAATTGATGTCCCACCTGAGGTTCGAACCCGCATCACCCAGTGTTGTAGTCAGAGACTTTACCACTAAGCTATTTGAGCTGCGAGTGACCTTCTGTATTTCTATTGATTAAAAGTTTGACAACTGCTCACATATTCTATCATATCTGTAATGATAATTAGAAATTATGCTATTCACATCCTATACCTGTAAATAGGTTGAATCAACGTAACATTGATTATTTTTTTATTTATGTCGTTAGTTCATGTTTTAAGCAAAACTGATGAATATTTTGAAATGGTAAAAATTAGAGCAGACATAGTTAAAACAGAGAAAATGCGTAGGCAATCTAAAGAATATTTTCCTATCCTTTTTATCAATGAAGGGAATAAAATGTACATAAATCAATAAATTAAAAGAACCAATAAAATTGCTTGTATAAAAACGATTGGTAATAATGAATTTTTTTTTTTGTTTTTCAAATGAGTATGAATGAATCGAATGTTCATTGAAATATTGAATGACAAAACTAAAAATAACTTCATTTAGTAATTAAAAACATGAATAATTTCTTTTTCCAGCTTGACTTATCATTTAATCACCGATACAATTGAAACAGAGATACAAGGTATAAACTTATAACTAAACTTTTAAATGTGTGTTTATCCTCCGTGTTTATAATCACACTTCAACTCGGAATGAAGTATTAACCACTGAGATTCTGATCGAGTGGATGAACGGTGAAATGATCACTATAAGACCTGACGGTGCGTGGTTCCATCCTTGGCGGGGCCGTGGATGAGTACCGCTGATGAGTTAGTTGCATACTAGGACTAAATAGCTATCTAGTGATTGAAAAGTTTTCAATAATTATCTAAATAATGCCAGACAGTGATGGATACTACCGTCAAACCAGTGAATCCTAACTCATAAACCTTCAACTAGAATAATAAGTCTTTGAATTACAGTAATTTGGTCGGTTTTAGCCAGCAGAGGAATCTAGGATGCGTGTTTTGTCCTGTTTATGGCTCGTCGGCTGGATTTGCCTGTTCCTGAGTGAGTGATGTTTTCACTGAGATTCGAACCTCGTACGCATCGTTTTAAATGCCAAGGAGTTATTCAGTATGCCACGCAGGAATGATAGCCACGTTTTGTACAAAAGGTTGTAGTTATAACTACTTATTGATATACTTATTATTCTTCAAGGTCGAACAATTCAACCCAATAAACAACGAAGAATTACAAGTACATCAATAAATAGTAATAAGTTTTCGAAGTCATTAAAATATAGATTGTGACTTAACTCCCACAGGCGTTATGAAACACTGTACCCTATGATTTACTATGCATGTATAAAAGAAAAGTAGATAGTTAAACATGCTTACCTCATATGCAAACCTTTCAAGATCATCTAAATGTCTTCTCAATTGTTCAATTAATTTTTGAGGTCTTCCATCAAAGTTTGAAGTAGACGCTTTCGATTCTGAAGATAACTGAATAATAGGGAAATTATTTGAAAATAATTATTACAAAATTCTAAGCTTTTTATATCAAATGATTTTGTGGGCAAAATAAACTAATGGTTTAAGGATTTTTGTACAATAATTTGTCGAAATTGTATCAAAGGATGTGTCAGCTATCTACCTCAACTTCATCAAATTTGAAAAGGACTTCGACAGCGTCGACCAACAAGTAATTTTACAGGCAACCACTTCAACACCACGGAGTGCCACAAATCTTTATCAGCCTCACTCAACAAGACGCCACACACCAAGTGATCCACAATGGAAAGCTCAGTGATGCTTCTGAAGTGAAGACAGGAAGGAGTAAAACAAGGCTATCCACTATCACCCATGATATTCCTGATTGTGGTCGACTGGATCATGCAACAAACGACTGTGAGGAGCGAGAAGAGGGGGATACGCTGGACCACCGAAAATAACCTACAAGATTCGAATTTCGCTGATGATTTATGTCTAGTGTCTTGTGGCACAAACATGAAGATCTACAGGCAAAAACTAACAAGTTGACAGAAGAGGCAAGGCAGCGGAAATTGGACTTCAAGTGAATGTAGAGAAGATGGAGGTGATGAAGATACCCAACCAACAACAACAACAACAACAAGCTCCAATCACCATCAACGGGAGAAACTTAAAGCAAGTAGTCTCTCACCTACACCTACACCTATCTAGGCAGCATCCTTTCAACTACAGGCGGCACAGGCACAGATGACAACGTCAAAGTCAGGATTGGAAAGACAGAAAGACAGGCCTTGATAAATCTGAAATCAGTGTGGAGACCTACTGCACTCGACTCAGCATGAAACGTGAACAATATCCGGATTTTCAACACCAACGTCAAGTCAGTGCTTCTGTGTGGCTCAGAGACTTGGCGGGTTTTGAAAGGCATTTCCAACAAACTGCAGACATTCATCAACAGCTTCTGCCTACGCTGGCTCGTTACTGAAGCTCAGATGGCCAGAAACAATAAGCAACAAGGAACTCTGGCTGTCAACGAACCAATCAAGAACCCATCGCCCAACAAATATGCAGAAGGAAGTGGAGATGGATTGGGCACACAGTGAGAAGGCCGACTGGGGCATCACACATCAGGCCCTCGAGTGGAACCCCGATGGGAAGCGACGAGTTGGGCTTCCCAGCTGAGGGTGACAGGTAGGAGATCGTGCGAGGAAAAAATGAGAGCTTCTAGGCTGTCGTGGAACCAGGTTCAAAAATTTGCCGAGAACAGAGTGCACTGGAGATATGTTACTGAAGCCCTATGTTCCATTAGAAACCCAAGGGACAAATAATAATAACAATGGTTATTATCAAGTTGTCAGCTGGATGAACTTTGAGGGAAAAATGATGACTTACTTGAGTTCAAGTGAAAAATCAACTAACTATCTGATGTGTATACTTACTATTATTTCTCTAAAATTGATTAATATTTGTATATTTGAGGGAGTTTTGGGGATTTGGAAATATCTAAAGTTGTTATTCGTTGTAGACTGACATCAGTCGGAGGGACAAAAGAAACTTGGGAGTACTGGACAGCTGTTTCATCCTAGTACAGGACTCTTCAGCAGTGTGCACCCATGACCCCACCAGCGACTGAACCCGCGACTTTCAGGTTCTTTATAGACGGCGAAATACCCATTCGATAAAATAATAATATATTCTAAGTGTTTTGAAGAAATTTTTTCATAATATATTTGATATGCAATAATGATGACGTTTAGCAACGCTAACCAATGTTATTTATCATAAGAGCAGATTTCATTACTAATCCTGGAGCATTTTTATTGCTTGATTTGTCATAATAGTTTTGACCTTATGACGTAATGCATGTGCCTCTTTTATCGGTATAAAACTGGCTCCATAAGTTGAGTTAATTTCATTGTTGTTAAAGGCTTTCTTCACAAATTTTAATTTAGCCCTTTCTTCAGCAACATGGTTTTATACTCATTCAGTTGTTTTCTTGTTAGATAAATTACATACCATTCCTGTATCTATTGAGCCAATTTCTTTAACTGATTTTGATTTGTTCGAAATGGTTAAATGTTCGAATTCCTGAATGTCTTTGTTAAATATTTTGGATAGGCTTTGATTCTAAATCTTGGTACAATTTCCTTATTTCAAAAAGCTGATTATAAGGAATAGGTATATTTACACCGTCATCAATGTTCTTAATACGACTACAATAATGTTCCACTAATAATTAATGCACATTCATGTACTCTGTCATACAGAAAAATTTGAGATACAACTGTAGCTGCTTGTACTGCACACTGAAATTATACTGAAATATTCGATTAAATCGGATTGCTATTCATTCCGGACTGAAATCAATAGGGGAACGATTGGAAACTCAGAAGCGACTCCTTAGTAGTACACACTCGTAACCTCACCCGGCGTGGATCGAACCCAGGACCTTCAGGTTCCTCGCCCAGCACATAACGGTTGAGCCACTGGGTATAAATCAAATAATCCACATTTCCTACTTCCACCAGTTCATGATATGGTGTGACTTCCATCCACTGCCATGATTAACTAACTGTCCTCATGTTCCACTTGGTTGGCCGCGTCGGTCACGACTCCTCATTAGAATTCCAGGAATCTCACTCATGAGCCAACCAAGTCGGTGAGGACATGTACTCAACGATGACATTGAATAAAGGTAACACTTCATCATAAACTGGCACAAGTAGGAAAATATGGACCATTTGATTTCTACCCAGTGGCTTAATGGTAATGTACTAGGCGCGGAACCTGAAGATCCTGGATTCGAACCCTGGTGGGTGGAATCATGGGTGCGCAGTGCTGAGGAGTTGCATACTTGAACAATACACCTGTCTCGTGCTCCCAGGTTTTCAATGTCTCTCCAACTGTTATCATTCATTCATCAATATCAACGTGAAATAAATAAATAAAATCCCCCACAAAACCTCCAAATTGAAAAATGTAAGTCCATCGAGGAAAATATTTCGAGCAATTAAACTTCCAAATCTGAACAGGAATTCACAGTCGTTGGCAAGATGCAGCCTATCCAAATAGTATGCAGTAAAATATGGTAGTCAATGTAATCTTCACCACTCATATTTATAGATGGTCGTCTAGTGGATTGTAGTTGCACACAATACTCACCAAAAATCTACATTTCAATTTTTAAAAGAGAAACTGTTAAAATTACCGATAAAGTCGACAGAATCCGATAGATATCAATGTAAAGGTCCTCCCAGATTAGATACAAATAGCAGACAGAATTGGAAGCTGAGTTGATTTGATATAGATGGATGGACTAAAAAATATGCTTGAACTGAAGAAGTCTCACTCGTTTCTACAACATTCTTCTCATATAGGGATAAGATTTCAGTGCTTTACTGTCACTAGTATTTATCTTCTCACCACAAACATAATTGTTCTCATCACTGAAACAAGCATGATTTATCTCCTATTAGCACGAATTACTTGATTTCATTGTCTATATTTTAATTCGACACCTTTAGTCAGTCTATAATAACACTTACAGCTTACTAAATTTCACTTGCCTACTTACAAATTATAGAAATTTGAGATAACTAACCTTCACCTTAATTGTATCCTATATGTTACTGTTTTGTCCCACCTGGGGATTGTTACTACCTGGTAGATAATTAAAATGACACTACAATTTGTACAAGTGCTTAGATATTATTTCTTAATAACTATATCTGTAAAAGTGATATCCTCCTGTAAGCCCAAGAATAAGATATTATTGTCACCATTATCACTAAATCGACACACAAATTTACTACATGTTTTTACGTGTATATCAGTGGCATCAATGGATAAATATTACCAATATTATTGAGGAACTAAGTTGGTTGGATGCAATCGGCAGGAAACCCTACTCTATCTGCTTTTCGTACTTTTTGGCACTTGTCAGTAAGGCGCATCTGTAACTCCGAGAAAACTGATATCCCCGTCTGAGGTTCGAACCCATGTTACTCAGTTCTGTAGTCATTAGCTTTACCGCCGAGTTATTCAGGTCGTGACCAACCCCATATAGGATTACAACACTGGATGACGCGGGTTCGAATTGAAGGCGGGATATCCCTTCAGTTGAGGTCACATGTAAGCCGTGCTGACGAGTGTCAAAAATCACGCAGCTTCCTATCGATTACCTCCAATCAACTCACATCCGTGATAAGCCTGCTAGCCTGGTGGCCAAATTGCAAAGATGGTAGACAGAATTAAGTCAGCACTCAGGACTATACAACATTAGATGGGCTGCTTTTCAGTGATCAATCAATGTATTAATAAGGAACGCTGAAAAAATGAAGCAACTAACCTGTTTACACTGTTCCGTTAATGATTGCAAGTCAGGTATTCCTCTGGAGGCATATTCTTCTAGGGATTTCAGCATTGCTTCTCTATTGTCACCTTCCGCATTCAATACTTGTCCTAGACGGAATTGCACCTAAAAATAAATGATTCAAAATAGTTACACTGAATTCATCTAAACATTTTGTCATGTTGCCCACATTTTATTCCCCTAGTCTTGCTACATCTTGTTTGTTGATGTTACTGTTATGTTAATAATTATTTATCAGTAGATTGAGTAGAAGTTGACATTACATTTTATTTTCTTCAAAGAATGAATTTGCAAACAAAAATCCCATGGGATAGTTGTTAAATGTTTTGTTTACAATACTTATCGTAGAATTTTTCTAGAAAAATAAACTCACCTAGTAACTAAGCTGCTTGTACGTCTTATGGACTAGATTTTTGGCATGTTGATCTACTTTCTAACCCCGCCTGGTTAACTAGCTCACCATCTACTAGCCGGCCCTAAGCCCGGGCAAAGAAGAAAGGTTGGGCATAGATAAGGCTAGCAACCCTACCCCGTAAAACCAATCCAACTGCTACAGAAACTCCAAAGCACAGACAAAATACAAAAAATAAAAATAAACTTATTCTTCGCTGGAATCGGAGAGACGAAATGACGCCAGTTGGTGAAAGCCTTCAGGAAGCCAATTGGCTTCTCTCGATGAAAGTGAAAGTAAAGCGTGCACTGGAGACTTGCCACTGAAGCCCTATGTTCCACTAGGAACCCAACGGACAAATAATAATAATGATAATCTCTATTTTCTAGAGAAATATATCTCTACCACAAATTAGGTCTAAGAAAATAGAAGAAATATCTACTGTATGCATTACTATTGATGAATTCAAATAAATCTTCCCCTCGAGTTAGTTTATGGGGTTTTAGTCTAGGAAAGCATTCCTTAAAAGTTCTTCATTTGAGAAACACATGTCTTAAATTCATTGGTTTGATAATATCTTGTTGTGTTCATTTGAAATATGCCAAGTTGAGCCACTTCACCTTTGCAACATGTTCTACTTTATCTCATTCCACTGACTTCATATTTAAAACAGTGAATTTTGAACAGTATTTATAAATTTTATTGATACGTGTAATTTACCTGTTGTCACTCTGAACCGAATGGATCGACCTCTGTTGGTGTATGGGCACCTACGTGTATGACTAGATATTACCTGATTACTGATTATGCTGTACTTTGCTTAGTGGTGGCTAGCAGTGGGATCTAGGACCCACCACTCGTCTTATTTGGGACTCATCAGTTGCCTATTGGATAACGCTTTGACGTCTGAAGCGATGGGCACTAGGTTTGAGTCCTAGTGAGGACAGCATACCTCATTAGGATGCAGGTATATCCAGCTGACGAGTCCTAGATAGGAAGAAATGCGCATCCTGGATTCCACTGCTAGACACCACCAAGAAAATTACCGACGTATTCCTAAATGTTTAGGAGCAAAATATATAGAAAACCTAATGTCCTAATAGTTCTAATGAATCATACAGATAGTGTGACATAATTTTACTGTGTACCAATATGCTTCACAACTGCTTTTGTGCCTTGATTAAGTATGATTACTCTCTGAGTTGCAACTTTGTCTTTCATGGACTTAATGACTGTAAACAGCTAATAGAGTGCTTAGTGAGAAAGCTAGGATGACGATGCTTTTGAAAGAAGAACAAGTATTTCAGCGATTTCATTTTCAAAGCTGTACAATCACAAATTTATACATTTCTCTAGTGTAAGGATTTCGTAGTTAAAACTGCTTTGTCAGGCATGGCAACACAAACAGTGTCAAACAGACAAACTGTCATTAAAATCAAAAAACCAAAAACTGATGATTAGTGAATATTAATCAAAATAAGTTTCGATAAGAAGTTTCATGAAATGACGACATAATTAGAAAGTAAATTATGATCAAGCAGAACATAGCAACTAGAATGAATAGCAAATTACTGAAGAAGTGAATAGTGTCAAAACAGAAATATGAAAAGAAAACGGGGGAGTAGAGTAGATTTCAAAGACTTGAAACTTAGACCATAAAAGGAGGAGGAGTTGAACAATCTTCTTTTGCTTACACAGTTCAGATTTCTCCATATGAATGAAAAGAGCTTCGGCGATGAAGAGAATACACAGATATACAGTCTTTGGAAGGTTTCTTTTGACTTTACAGATGAATTCGAACGAGAAGGTTCTTGAGATAGCTTGATTCGTGTTCACGTGTTCAATTATAGCACTCCTTATCGCTCCATTGTTACCTCTTTGTAACCATACAGGATAGTGCTCTTGAACACTTGATAATAGTCACATCTAATGACCTATATACCCGGCTCCACAAGAGCAGGCAAAATGATATATACACATGGAAGTAGTCACATATGAATCTTTCCCTGTGAGTTGCTGGAAATCATTGGGTGACAAGAGAATAATAGTCTCAGCGTTGATGCAAAGAATCCTCTCCTTAGAGAGTTTAATATCCTCCTTTTTAGAGTCTCAGTGGCAGAATCACCTTTGAAGCTTAGATTCATACAGAGTAAGGTTCTCTTTGCGAGGTTCAGACTTGATGTTTTTGTCTATGAAGCCTGGTGGGAATACGTTTTTAATCAAAATGTTCATTAGAACAGAAATTTCTTCTTCTAATACATCGGGAGTGGTGAGTGGCAAGAGATATGATCGGGTTTCGCTTACAACTCATAGGACCCAGCTATTAAAGTTCATCAGCTGACCGTTCCACATTCGTTTTCTGTGAATTGATGTACTTAAGGTTCTACCAGGTATTCTTGTCAGCTGTACATAAAGAAAGTGAATTTTTGTCGATTTTTGACCTCAAAGGTGAATCTAACTGCTGAATGGCAGTTATTGAATATTTGTGGAACATTATTCGAATCATATTGATGACCACAAACAATAAAAGTATCGTCCATGATGCTTTTGGCAATGAATAAAGCCCAGAAATGATGTACATTTTTGAGTATCAACCGCATTCAGTATTTCACGGTTCACAATAATAGTCATTTTTTAATGAAAAAAAGATGGAAACGAATTCCGATTTACCATCATGTAGCTGATAATCGAGTGTCAGATAGAAAGACAGACAGACAAAATCAATGTAGAACCTCGCACATAAGTGCATAAGTCCAAGTTGCCACATCTCACTGTAATATACAAAAGAACGGATAGGTGGATAGAAAAAGAGTGATATCAAAATATGCAAAGTTGTGTGAGAGAATAAATAATTTGAATATAAAGCTTAGTGCAAATATTCAAGCTTTAGAAAATATCAAACAGACAATATATTTGCGCTATCGTAATCGATTTTTAGCTATTTCACCTAGAGCCTTTAAACATTCATTCCTATCATCTATTTCTCTCCACACGGCCCAGACTAACACTCAAAGACTTCATGAACAGATTTCACGTCTTAGTTTGACTACCCTGAGCCTTCTTAAAACCTGCTCCAACTTTCTATAGCATTACAAATCGAGGTAGGTAGTAGTTCGGCAAGCGCAGCATATGTCCAAGCCACCTCAGTCGACTAAGGTTCAAAACCTAGTTGACTGACTTGCTTCCCTTGACTAGTACCCTTCGCCTTAACCCGACACCTCTATGAAGACATTTTTGATCAAAAAGCTGTGACAGCTTTATATCTTCAACTCTCAACTTCCATATCTCATGGTTGTGTAACAGGAAATAATAGACAGTTCAAAGCAGTAAACTAAAGACTTACTCTTTTGAAAGTATTTTCGGAATTCACTGAAGTATAGCACATGGGCCAAAATTAGGCAGTGGATGAACGCATAAAATATCATCTTATCTCTTTGCTAGTGGTTGGTCGAAACTTTGCAGTTCTTTGGTTCGTGCTCATTACATCTGTGATCGGATGAATAGCCTACATGGCTATGATTAGTGTCTACGTTCACCTATCGAAACTTAACATTTATTTTGGTATCAAGATTTCGATTATATTTCTCTAAACTTAACAAACACTTCTAGGCACTTAAATTTGAGGTAATTTAGAAAGATGAAGTACTTGTGAAAGTGACTAAAAGTGCAAGTTACTGTTGTCTTTTTGGAGCTTTCAGTCTAACTGAAAAATTATCAGATATACGGTAAGATACATAATCGGATGATTAGTACCCAAACTTTAAGTCAACTCAACTTCAATGAACATCGTAATAATCAGTAGGGAATTTCAGTAAGCATAATCATGTAGGTTCAGACCACTACCTAGTGCAAGGAACCTTCCAAATCAAGTTAAAAGCCTTCAAGGAAGCTGGTGATAGACCTCAATTCAAGTACAACACTCGGAAACTGAAGGATGAAACTACAAAGGAGATCTTCAAAGCAGCCATCAAGACAAAATGGGAGACATCGAGCAACATCCCTGAAGAAACCTGTGTAGAAGAACACTGGAAGTCTTTGAAAGCTATGTGGAAAGAAACCTGCACAACAGTATTAGGAAGGAAGAAGAAAGAAGACAAGGAATGGATCTCGACGGATACCTGGAAGCTGATAGAGGAGAGGAGGATGGTGAAGCAGAAGATAAACCAGTGCAAGGATGCTCAACGACAAGAGGAACTGAGCACAATGTATAAAACACTGGATAAAGAAGTGAAGAAGAGTGCACGCAAAGACAAACGACACTTCTACGACACACTGGCAAGTGAAGCAGAACAGGCTGCAGGTAAGAGAGACCTGACGACATTGTATCAAATAACCAGGTTGCTATCAGGGAAGAGACCAACACAGATGAAACCAATAAAAGATGAAGAAGGAAATTTAATTACAAAAGAAGAGAAACAGAGGAAACGATGGGCCGACCACTTCAAGAAGCTCTTGAATCGACCACCACCTGCACTTCGTCCACAAATACCACCTGCAGCCGCTGAATTACAAGTGAACATAAATCCCCCAACGAAAATGGAAGTCCTGAACGCCATAAAGCTACTGAAATGCGGGAAAGCAGCAGGACCAGATGGAATACCGCCAGAAGCACTGAGAACAGATGCAGAGACAACAGCGGACATGTTCACACCACTATTGCAGAAGGTGTGGAGGGAAGAAAAGGTACCTGACGATTGGAAGAAGGGTTACCTTG